TATGAATGAATTCTAATCTAGTTGTGCTCGAATCCTGACCTTTAACCCAATGCCTTGCTATGGAAGGCAAAAAAATAATCCTTACCACTAATTTTTCTTTCTTCCCAGCTGTCCACTCCCATTTTTATCAATACTAACTTTAGTTGGTAGCCCTAAGTAATAGATGTGCAGGTAGTTCCCAGTTTAAGAACGAGTTCCATTCCCAAGGTCTGTCCTTAAGTTGAATACATAATGGTTCGAGTTCATTACACCATACTACTTACACTGTATTATACAATAATACTGTTTTGGCTTACATATGTATTCAACTTAAGGACAGACCTTGGGAATGGAACTCGTTCTTAAACTGGGAACTACCTGCACATCTATTACTTAGGGCTTCCAACTAAAGTTAGTATTGATAAAAATGGGAGTGGACAGCTGGGAAGAAAGAAAAATTAGTGGTAAGGATTATTTTTTTGCCTTCCATAGCAAGGCATTGGGTTAAAGGTCAGGATTCAAGCACAACTAGATTAGAATTCATTCATATGCGTTTGGAATATAGCAAAATCTCAAAAGACAAAGATTGTGAACAAATATGGAAGAATATATTCCCCCACATCTGGCTCAACAGTATTGCTACCTGGAACCAATTTCAGATAAACCATTTTCTTGCAACTGTACTGATTTCCAAAATTGAGCACTTGGAGTTCTAACAGGCTGTGTGTGTGGGAAAAGGTTTCCCTCCCTCCTGATAATTAAATCACTAAATAAAGTATTAGGCATTTTATACACCTAATTCCATATAAGGCTCCAAATGATCATAAATTTATCTAATCTTTTCTATAGATACTCAGCATATAAGACTAATTTAAATAAGGAGATTGGCACCATTTAATCTATGCTTCTGTTGCATGAAATCTGACTTATTTAGAACCTCTGTTTGAAGTATTTCAAGTACTTCAATCATCCAAGAATACGTAATAAGAATGTCTGGTAAAATCCATACAGCTGTGGTAGTGGCAGTTATTTGTTTGTTTTTTCGTTTGTTTGTTAGATTTGTATCCTACCTTTCTTTTAGGAGCTCACATAGTAATCTTTCTCCAATTTTATCCTCACAGCAAATTTGAATGACAGGTTCGCCTAAGGGAGAGTTACAACCCAAAGCTACCTTGTGACCTTCCATCTGTGATGGTGTACTTGAACTTGGATTCCTCAATTCTAGTCGAACACCTTCACTACTACAGTACACTGGTTCTTTGGGGTTTTTTTGGTCACCTGGTACTTCCAGGCACTTTATAAACCTTCCTAAGAACAATAAGAAAATACACCAAAAATATAAAGTTAAGGTGCTTACAAATTCATATATAAACCAAAAGCATGAAAATTAGAAGGTTAGGAAAAGTACCTCGTCTTAATTTCCATGCAAAATAATAGCGAATATGTATTCTACGGTATTACATAATGCAATCATGCTTGGAATCTGCACTTCCGTTTGAGCTTTCACTCTCAGTTCCTTGATACAAAATCACACACATCAGAGGCCTTTAGTACTTTGACCCACCTACAGCAGTTCTGAAGTGCAAACCATATCTATAGGGCCACTGATTAAACCATTTTCTTTTTAGCTGTGAATGCCAGCAAGAGAGCCAAGGTGGATGCACACAACACAGGGCAAATTCATTCATAATAAACTGGAATTCAGAATTCTAGCATAACATCCTATATAAATGTAGTTACTCTGATTCTGGATTCTTTCTCCACTGAGGTTTGCCAAGTATCTTGGTTTATTACACAAAAGAAATTAAACAAAAGAAAGAAAGCATCCACAGCTGGATATTAAACCACAGGTATTAAAATCACAGAAAGCTGTGGTTGGCATAAATAGAAGGACAGGGAAATAGAAAGGCTTTGATGACAGGCTGAAACAATAGGTAAAGAAAGGGGCAATCCTGTCTGTGGGAAATAGGAGCTTTCTCTACCAGTAAGCTGCAACTGAAAGAATCCTGTCCCATAACCCAGCACATTAGACCTCAAATGGCAATGGGGCAGGACACACAACTGGGCCTCTGCTAATGACCACAGTGAAGAGCAATCTCATAGAGAAGAATGTGGTCCTTCAAACTGTTCATCACTGTGTTTGGCCACACTAGACTGATGGCAGGTACAAGGGATTCCCATGAACTATTATTAAAGACCATTTTATGTGTTTCCTGATCAGAAGACAGGTGCATTGGAGTGGGAACAGACCCTCCTGAAGTTGTCTCTAACCTCTTAAAGCAAACAAGTTTTCCCCCAGGCTAAATGCAGAGAGAAGCCATCAATTCCAGAAAAAGATGTAGCGACTTTAAGGAAGTACACCATACAGGCCACCTAAGAGAGTTAGCCTGCTTATCTGTCATCTGATTTGTTTGTATCTGATTCAGTGTTAACAGAGAATCCATCCCTGAATAACTAACTATGCATGAATCACACTGTTCTTAGCATTACATATAATGCAGCTATTGTCTGAACTGGCTAAACTACACATCAAATACAAGAGCAAACTACAGGCTTGCACAAACCTGTGTCTGACAGGTGAAATTGGTACATGTGCAATGAACAGAAAGCACACAAGCTCAACACTTATTCCATGCTGAATCAGATGTTGTAAGTGGCATTATATATGGATCATGCTAGACTGTGAGTGAACATTTCCTTGTGCTGGGCTGATCTCTTTATTTAAGGTATAAATATTAAAGTCAGAATATAAAACAGGACAAGCCACAATTAAAAATAAAATATTAGCAGATCATTTTCTGTATTGTATGAATGGCATAAAAACACAAACATACACTAACAAAAGTAAGGAAACTGCCATACATGTACTTAAAAAGTATTTGTAACTATATAAAATGTGTGCATGTTGAAGTTTAAGGAATACAACTGATCAGAAGAAATTTGTATTTAGCAGCGGATGTAATAACAATTACATCATAGGACTTGGCCTTTCCCATAGGAAAAAAAGATCTCTTAATTGCTGGTGCAGGTGGAAGGAAGTATGCAGATAATATGTATGGCATGAACAGCAGATATACCCCTTAATTGATCAAAACAAGGATGTGCACTGAAGCATTTCCAGCCCATCAGAGAATTAACAAGTTAGGTCTCAGTTTGCTAATTGTTTGTACAGGAAATCACATGGTATGCTCTAAACTGTGAACAGAAGCTTTAAATGTCTTGTACATAAACCCAAAATCCAATGAAGCATATTCTTTTCAAAAACCATGCTTGCTGAATGTACCTACCTCTTGGTGCAGTATTTAACAGATCAGTGACAGTGCAACAGAGGACAAGCACCATGGAAATGTGACTGAATTTATAAACCCTAGGAGTGGAGAGAATGGGAAATGAAAGAAGACATAAAGCTCTAAGACATGGTTTCCTCTTACAGGTTTGAACCACTACTGGATTAGCATAAATCAGTCTCTACCACTGATCACTTCCCATAATTATATAGAGTAGCCATGATGCTTTTTGGGTCACTACCTCCCTCTATCTCCACTCGATGTTATTATGTTGTTCTTAAAACATCAGCATACGTTCACTACCACCTACACTTTTTGTACAATCCAACTTAACTTATTATTGTTAGCCGCCCAGAATCACTGGTCTGAGATGGGCAGCTACATAAATTGAACAAACAAACCAACAAACTACTAACACAGAAATGTATGAAGAGCTCTGTTAGATAAAACCAAGCAAGTATTTAACCTTTCATTCTCTTCCAGAGTGACTCAAGATATGCCATGAAAGCATCTATAGGCAGGCCATAAGTACAATTACACTCTCCTGCTCATGTTCTCTAACTTCTGGCCCTGAGAGGCATGACAACTCTAACTCTGGTGTGAACATACAGCCATCACAGCTACTACCATCCAGTATTAGCCTTCTCCTTCATAT